CAGCATCAGGATCATCATCATCAATATCATCATCATCATCACCATCCTCATCCTCATCCTGATCATCACCAGAATCATCAGCAGCGTCATCGTCATGCTCAGCATCAGCATCATCGTCACCATTATCATCAGCATCATCATCCTTCTCATCGTCGTCGTCGCCATCGACATCGACATCGGCATCATCATTATCATCAGCAGCAGCATCATCACCATCCTTCATCCATTCTCCCTCGTCATGCCAGCTGCGCAACGCCCGACCCCTCATCATCTCATCCAAACGTTGCCGAGCTGTCGGACACAACTCGGCTCTCTGGTGGCCGTTCGGGACGATCGGGACACCCCCGGACGCTATAGTCGAGGCGCAGCTGCTCGAACGCATCCCGAGCCTTGGAAACTGCCCGGAACCGACGACAATGTCGGAACACCTCGGACCCGAGCCCAATGTCCCTGAGTGGACAGGGGGACAGGTATTTCGTTGAGCGAAGCGCTGAGCTGCCGATCTGGGTTTAAGGCTGCGCCCGAGCCTGCAGAAAGCGCGCCTCGTGGCGCCCTCACTGCCAGGCCCTGCTCCTGGGTCAGCCTTCCGAGGTAGAGCCTCCCTGTCTGCGTTGGGGGCTGGCACTGGAGGAGGAGCTTTCCCTCCTCCCTGAACTTGCGGGTGTCCAACCCACCGCACACCACACGCCAGAATTCGCTCCGGCCCAGCCCCACCCCCCACGTCAAACCACCTCAAGACGTGCGAAGGGTGCGATCCCAGGCCTCTCCTCTCGGGGCCCGCGGCACGGCCGAGGGCGGAGGTGCCAGGTCGGCAGGGCTGCTTCAACCAGCGAATTATAGCCCTCTTACCTCGGCTAGACCCTCCGCTGGCCAAACCGAAGCCCGAGGATACACAAGAACGCCCAACAAACACGAAGAACATGAGGGCATCTTCCCCGAACCGACCTCGATCTTATACCTCGGGCCCGTAAGAGGATTGAGGAGTTTTTGTTTGACCTCAACGCGCCATCGAAGGCCTCAAAGCGAGGACCAGACGCCCGTCTGCTGGGATGAGGAGCAAGGGGCCTCCGGAGAAGACTGCTCCAGCGCTCCATGACGAACATCACGACACGGCACAGTCTAGCGGCTACATACAACGGGGGTGCCGCCCCACCCCCAGCCGAGTACGAGGAGACTAAGGGCAGGCCGAAGGCGAACATCGACTCCGGAACGCAGCCAGCAGCTCCTCGTCGGGCGTGGACACGGGGACGCCCAGGGTGCGCACCAGCAGGCGGCGCTCCTCGGCGGCGATGACGACTGCCTCCGCTGCCCCCGCCGCCGCAGCGCCAGGACCAGCTCCAGCAGCTTCCATCTCCATGGGCACGACGTCGAGGCTCGGCCGCACCGCGGCCTGCCGCACGACGCCGTCGGCCCACTCGTCGTCGTCCACGTCCGTCTCGACCGCAGCAGCCTCCGCCGCGGCCGCGGGCCGAGGGCCCGCGTCCGCCGCTCCAGCGACAGCAGCACCAGTGCCTCCTTCAGCAGCAGGCGGAACAGCGCGCCCCGCAGCGCGCGCCTCCGCCACGCGGCGGCGCCGACGCCGTCGGCGCTCCACCTTCGCTGCCGACAGAGGCGTCGGTTCCTTCTTGGCGGCGCCGAGGCGGCGAAAATCACCGCCGACACCGCCGACCGCGTCACGGCAGCGACTGTGCGCCGCGGCGCTTGGGCAAGCACCGCGGCACGGACAGCAGCAGCCACCAAAGCAGCGCCATCCGCGACCGAGAGAGCCCCTCTAGCGAGGCGCGAGGCGTCCATTCCGAAGACGGCCGACCGAGCGCCAGGCATGCAGCCGCTTGAGCCAAAATGAAGAGGATTGAGGAGGAGGAGGAGGAGGAGGAGGAGGAGGAGGAGGATTGAGGAGGAGGAAGAGGAGGAGGAAGAGGAGGAAGAGGAGGAGGAGTGAGGAGGATCGAGGAGAAGAGGAGGGAGGAGGCCGTTTCTTCAGCGCTGGAGCCCGCCACGGCGGCGCCCAGCAGCCCGGGCCGCAGGCGGGGGGCCCAGTCCTCGGGCAGCCACCTGCGGCCGCAGCCGCCGCCGGCCGCCGCCGCCGCTGCCCATCGCCGCTTTCCTGGCGCCTCTTGGGGCGTCCTGGGGGCCTCCTGGGGCGGGAGGCTCGGATTTTCGGCAGACGTTCCCTCTCTCGGGCCCCCTTGTGGGCCCGTTTCACCCTCTGCTTGCGACAAAAATCACCACCGCCGCCGTCCGCGGTGGCCTTAAGACGAGGCCAGGACGAGGACATAATCGGCTGAGGAAATCGAAAATCTCTCAGATCCGGCGGCTGTGGAGGATGTCTCGGGCGCTGCGGCCTTCCCAAAGTCCGACACCCTCTCGTTGCGACAACGATCACGACGGTATGTTTCTGGCCGCTTCTTGTCGGCCTCTGTGTCCAGCCTCGGGGCGGCGCTGTGTGCCGGCACCTGTGGCCGCCATGTCCCTGCGCTTGGGCGCAGGACGCCGGGAA